ATCCTGGTGGGCCACATATGAATATGTTACCGTATCAAGGTCAAATGGAAATACCACAATATCACCCTTCGATGAATCCAATGGCTGGTCGAGTTGGTGCTGGCGGTAACAATAACAACAATGGTGGTAATAACAACAATAATAATAATTTTTATATGAATAATTCTAAAAGTTTTAATTCAGTATATATTAACAATAACAATAATAATAATAATAATCAAAATTCTATAGCTAGAAGGCAGATGAATTCATCACCATCTGGTGCTAATCAACAACAAAGACATCCATCATCACAATCACAGACTTCGTCTTCATCCTCACCCTCAAAAAGAAAGTTTCCTGATAATGGATTTGAACAAAAAGAATCAGACAATAAACGATCATCCACTTCAAATAACAATTCTTTGTCTCCTAATCCTAATACCACCGCTACAAATGGAAAATCAACATTTCAAGAGACAAAATATAATAATAGTAATAATAATGGTGGCGGTGGTAGCGGTAATAATAATAATACATATAAAAAAGACGATAAGTCAATAAAATCAAATGATATGAAAAATACTTTACAATCAACATCATTATCGAGAAATAGTAGTAATAATAATAATAACAATAATAATAGACAGACACCGACATCTCAAAATAAACCTAAATCTATAAATAATACCACACTTACTGCATCATCGACATCCAATATTAATAATAACAATAATACTAGGAATTTAGGTAAACCGATTACAAAAGTTGCACCACAATCTACTACACCATCATCAACTGGTGGCTCCAATTCTAATAAATTAATTATTTCAAATGTTGATGAAAATGTCACGAAACGGGAGCTTCAAGCTTTGGCTTCAAATGTTCCAGGAGGACCTTTGGTTAGTGATATAGTTTCTTTAACTAAAATTTAGTATTTGTAGTTGTTACAGTTAAATTGTTAGTAACAAAAATTTATCTTTGTATGTAGTCTATTATAATAAATCGAGAATCAAGCTCTGCAGAAATTATTTTCAAAACTTTGGATGGAGCTAAATTGTTTAGGAGAAAATATAACAGGTATTGTTTACCACTCATATATATATATATTGAGAAATAATTATTCATTTATTGGGGATATGAATTTGATTAATTATTATACTATTTAAATTATATAGGAGCGTTCTTGGAAGTTCTAATATAATCATTAATTTTAGTTAATTTTAATAATAGATTTTTAGTTTATTATTTTGCTTTATTATTTGCAATAATAAAAATCTGTTTATTTCGTTTCTTTTAAAAAAGTTAGGTACAAAAACTTTTAATCTTATTTATATATTTTATTTAATTTTATAAATATAATTCCTTGTTATTACTTTACAATTACTCTTTCAATTCCTTCTTTTTTTTTTATTAAAAAAATTTTTAAAAAAATTTTAAAAACTTTTATTATTTTTAATAATTAAAAAAAATATTTTATCTTTAAAAATTGTCATAGGTTGTAATATTTATTTATTATCATTATTTTTGGTTTTATTTTTTTATTTTTTTTTTATTTTTCTTTGCTTTTTATTATTATTATTATTATTATTTTTGTTGTTACTATTATTGTTGTTATTATAGATTAAAAAAAACATTAAGATGAATTTCATTAGTATTAATATTTAATATATATATATATATATATATTTGTAGAGAATAGAATTGAAGAAAAGTTTATGAAAAAAGAAATTAATTATTTCCTAACCAAAAAAAAACTAACAGTATCAAACAATGTCATTGATTGATATATAATTTAAGAAGAAAATAATAAAATAATAAAAATGATAATTATAATGATGATAATATTTATAAGGAATGCATTTAATGCAAATTTTTTATTTCGATTGAAAAATTTTCCCGACAATATTATTATTATTAATCTTCCAAAATCAAAATATTTATTTGAGAGACAATAAAAGTCAAATCAAATTCACAATAAATAACAGCATACACGCACATAATATTCCAGTTATTGTACCTGATAACGTATATCAATTGTTAAAAATTTCATTATAAATCTATTGTTATAATTACATAATTAATCAAAAATTAATAAATATCAATTTAAATTAAAACTTGTATATTTGCAATTAATTAAAATTCAAATTCGTCACGGAATTCATTAACATCAGCTCCAGAGAGTATTTTGTCTAGCAAATCTTTTCTTTCCTAAAAAAAAAATTTATTGAAAAAGTTGTTACTCTTTTATTTTTCGTAAAGAAAAAAAAAAAAAACTTTATATTCTTATTTAGCTTACCATTTTTTCAAAAGCTCTACTCAAGGTTAGTCTAAGCGATCTACTAGTATTTTTACTATCATCATCGCCAATCTTATGCATACTCAAAGCACCAAGTAAGTGTTCAACTGCTTCACGATAACAATGAATATTTATACAACTGATTCCCAGATTATGTCTTGCCCTTACAAATGTAGGTCTTAAAGATAATGCTTTATGATATGCTTCAATTGCTTCTTCTGGTTTGTTATAATTTGCTAATGTTGCACCTAATTTATTCCATAAAAGATAATCCTAATTATATGTGCGCGAAATAGATATTTGTGTGAATGCATATTTTTATAAATAAATATAAACCATAAAAAAAAAAAGGATTATTATTTACATCTTTACGAACTTCCAATGCAGTATTAAAACAATCAGCAGCTTTGTCGTATTCATCATTAGCATAAAATAACACGCCCAAGCCTACTTGTACATCAGGATCAATGTTTTCACCTTCTGGTGCGTTCCTTGCAGCTCTCAAAAACAATTCTTTAACACGAGACAAAAGAACTTGTGAATTATGCATTGTTGCTGAAGATAATACAATCTCGGGATATTTCACAGTTATCCATCGCTCCAGTGTAAAATATGACTGAGCTGTGAATCCTTCGTTTGTGTAACTAATTGCCAAATTCTATTGTATTTTAATTTATTTTATTTCGTTATAAAACGAGAAAACAATAATATTAAAAATTAGGTTTTCCTTAATTCTCCATAAATTCAAAATCCAAAATTCAAAAACTCAAAAATAGATTACCATTAACGCAGTCAAATTATTTCCATCAATTTCAATAGCTCTTTGCAAAGCTCTTATAGCTGCTTCATCCTTCTCATTTTGAGCTTGCACACTACCTAACCGCTCCCAAGCTTCAGAGTTATTAATATCTTTCTTTACCGCAGCTTCAAAAGCCAATGCAGCTTCTGACAACGAACCACCTTGATTTATTATTTTCATTCCTTCTTCAAAAGGATTTAAATGT